GGTGCGGGTGTAAGGATCAGTATTAGGAGACATTGTAACGATAGATACAGACAAATCGTACAGCTACTCAGCTCAAAGGTGGGAGTTGCGCCAAGAAGAGTTATGCCGAAGCGCCGAGATTAGCGTGGGACAAAACTTTTGTGAGGCACCTCCGTACACTCACATGAACACTTTGATCTATAGCTTGCGGGGTCGTTCCAGACGGCCATTTGCTTCCGGCGGCTGCATGTCCGATCTTACTAAGTGGGCTCAAACCTTCTCCACTATTCCCGCACTGAACTGCTTCAGAGGTTCTTGAGGGTTGATATCTTTCATCTAAACATCCTAACAACACAAAAACCTGAACCTCAAAGGTGCGGGTTTTGGTTGTAAAAACCAGGTATACACCATCACATGTTATGTGGAGACTGGAGTTTCAATAGATTCCAGACTTGGCATACAAAAGTGAAAAGCAAAAAATATGGGGGAATATCGAGTCCATTGAACACGGCTGAGCAGAGGCTGGATTAGTCTAGAATACCCGGCCAAGATGTCAAGCATTCCTTGGCATTTCCTTGCTTAACTATGACGCAATTGGCAAACTCGCTTCAATCGGACAGCTCAGACAGGCGCCACGGCGTTCAGTCAACCTTTCATACCATTCTACGGACAAAATTCGACGAAGAAAGCAAAACATGGCAGAGAAAATCTACCGGGATATATGGTTGGTACCAACAGTTGGGACAGGTATCGAGTCCAAAGTACTTGGTGCCGACCACTGCACACGGTCACCACCAGTCGCAGCCCGCGGGCGCCGAGTGCATGACGAGCGACAAGAGATTGGACTCTGTAAAGGCTGATTATCTCGATCGTGGCTGGATACAATAAATTTCGGCATTAGCATGCGCCGATGGGCGAAGCTCGTGCTCGCATCGAAAGCGAGCCTGCCGCCTACACGTTACCGTGACATCATCACTCCACTAGCGAAATATCAACGCGTCGCCCAAACATGACGGCGACAAAGAGCTCCGGCGCGCCGCCTGCCATTTCAGCTGATATACCTGGTTGTGGTCACATACCCTCTCTCTAGATTTCAGCCCGGCAGAATTTGTGGACTGTCGCCAAAACCGTCTCTTCCAACGATCACTGGTCGCATACAAACCGACACTGTTTGAAGTGGACCCATTCGCCTGGGACCTACACTACTGCCAGGACTGTCTTCCGCGGTCCACGCTAACGCCACGAGGTCCGTCGTAATGGATTCAAAAAATGATAACCCAATCCAATCGCATCTCCCTGGCGGTTGGATAGAGACGCCTGTAGATTCCAGCCGGAATCAATCATACATCGGCTCCCAACAACGGACTGAGAGTGCCTCAGTTACGCCCAGCGCTTCTCACAATGAGAATACCGGTAGAACCTTCATTTCCAATGCACTGCATACCAGCAGTCAAAGCTACTATGGGGAGAAAGGTACAGGGGCGTCATCAGGCTCGAGCAATACTACTGCAGTACCATCGTCTGGCATGTCATCATCACAGCACGCGAACTACGTAAATGCAGCTCCAGGTAGAGCCAGCGAGCCCGCAAATGGACGGCACCCCGATTCGAACAACGGCTACCTCCAGACGGCGGAGTCAGGGGGGTTCTTGGAAGAGCAAGTCGTGCTTGATGACTCGTCGGACTCCGAACACGAAGGTTCCTCCACGGAGGGTGCTGCAGCAAAGAAGAGACCTAACCTGAAGACGACAAACTCAAGGCCAATGACAGAAGACGACCTGTTCCGTGTACTGTCCAGACGAAAGACGAACCAGAGCTATGGCCTGAGCAAGAGCAACACTGGTGCAACTGGCCACAGCAAGGAGGAACAAGATGAGATCAACAAATTAATGTCAAAGATGTTTGGGCGCACAAGGCGAGAACAATCGGAAGAAGAAAAGACTAGACACCAGGGCGTCATCTTCAAGCACTTAACAGTGAAAGGGATGGGTATTGGCGCAGCGTTGCAGCCAAGCGTCGGATCACTGTTTGCAGATCCAGTAAGATTTGTCAAGAATCTGCTCACAAAAGGGCCACGGAAGGCTGCGGGCAAACCACCAGTGCGGACGCTTCTTGATGACTTCTCCGGGTGCATACGCCCCGGTGAAATGGTGCTTGTTCTTGGGTATGTCCTGAATTTCGATCAAGATACACCCATGCTAATGTCAATAGACGCCCTGGAGCTGGTTGCTCGACGTTCCTGAAACTGATCGGCAATCAAAGATTTGGCTTCGAAGAAATCACTGGTGAAGTGTCATATGGAGGCACCGATGCAGATGAGATGCGCAAGAAGTATCGAAGTGAGGTCCTGTACAACCCCGAAGACGATCTGCATTATGCGACACTCAAGGTGAAAGACACGCTGGAGTTTGCATTGAAGACAAGGACACCCGGTAAAGAATCGCGAAAGGAGGGCGAGAGCCGCAAGGACTATGTGAACGAGTTTCTCCGCGTTGTCACTAAGCTCTTCTGGATCGAACATACCCTTGGTACCAAAGTCGGCAACGAAGTAAGTGTTCCACGTATGAGTGACACACAAAACATGCACTGACATCATATCCTCTACCTGTAGCTCATTCGCGGTGTGTCCGGTGGCGAGAAGAAGCGTGTTTCAATCGCTGAAGCAATGGTCACCAAGGCCTCAGTCCAGAGTTGGGATAACAGCACTCGTGGTCTAGACGCTAGCACCGCGCGTGAATATGTTCAGAGTCTACGCGCTTTGACCAATATGGCTCAGATCTCTACTGCAGTAGCCCTCTACCAGGCAGGAGAGTCCTTGTACGAACTCTTTGACAAAGTTCTTTTGATTCATGAAGGACGGTGCTGCTACTTTGGACCCACTGAAAAAGCCGAGGCCTACTTCAAGAATCTCGGGTTTGACAAGCCTGAGCGCTGGACCACGAGTGACTTTCTGACGTCGGTCACGGATGATCATGAGCGGCAGATCAAGGAAGGCTGGGAAAATCGCATTCCACGTACTGCAGCAGCCTTTGCAGAAGCCTTTGCCAATAGCGAGCAGATCAACGACAACTTTGCCGATATTGAAGAGTTTGAGAAGGAGACAAGACGACAGGCAGAGGAACGTCATTCAGCCCAGACCAAGGCGACAAAGAAGAAGAACTTTACCATTTCGTTTCCCGCTCAAGTCATGGCTTGCACCAAACGCCAGTTCCTTGTCATGGTGGGAGACCCGCAGTCTCTTATCGGCAAGTGGGGCGGCATCTTGTTCCAAGCCTTGATTGTCGGTTCGCTATTCTACAATCTCCCAAACACAGCCGCGGGAGTCTTTCCCCGGGGTGGTGTTATCTTCTTTATGCTGCTCTTCAATGCCCTGCTCGCTTTGGCGGAACTCACGGCCGCATTCGAGTCGAGACCGATCTTGCTCAAGCACAAGAGTTTCTCATTTTACCGACCAGCTGCCTACGCCATTGCGCAAACCGTCATCGACGTGCCACTTGTGCTGGTCCAAGTCTTCATCTTCGACATTGTGGTGTACTTCATGGCGAACCTCTCGCGAACAGCGTCCCAGTTCTTCATCTCGCTGCTGTTCCTTTGGATCATCACCATGACCATGTATGCTTTCTTCCGAGCCATTGGTGCTCTGGTCGGCTCCCTGGATGTGGCAACTCGAATCACGGGTGTTGCCATCCAGGCACTTGTTGTGTATACTGGTTATCTGATTCCTCCAGCAAAGATGCATCCATGGTTTTCATGGCTACGCTGGGTCAATCCTATTCAGTACGGCTTTGAGGGACTCGTTTCGAACGAGTTCTACAACTTGCAAATCCAATGCGTACCCCCATTCATAGCTCCACAGGTTCCTGGTGCTGAAGAGCAGTATCAAGCCTGTGCTATCCAAGGCAACAGACCTGGATCGCTCACAGTGGCTGGATCAGACTATATCGCGGCAGCGTACGGGTACTCGAGGTCTCACTTGTGGCGCAACTTTGGCATCATCTGTGCCTTTTTCATCCTTTTTGTAGCACTCACAGCTCTTGGCATGGAGCTGCAGAAGCCTAACAAAGGGGGCGGGGCCGTCACCATCTATAAGCGCGGCCAAGTGCCCAAGGCTGTTGAGAAAGAAATGGAGACGAAAACTCTGCCCAGCGACGAGGAGGCTGGAAGCCGTGAGCCGGTGTCGGAAAAGTACGAGAGCCAGGAATCCGACAATCCCGCCGAGGGGGTTGCTAAGAACGAGACTATCTTCACTTTCCAGAACATCAACTACACGATCCCATACGAAAAAGGCGAGCGGATGTTGCTGAAGGGAGTGCAGGGCTTTGTGAAGCCTGGTAAACTCACAGCGCTCATGGGTGCTTCTGGTGCGGGAAAAACCACCTTGCTCAACACGCTGGCTCAGCGCATCAACTTTGGCGTTGTTCGTGGAGACTTTCTTGTCGACGGCAAACCGCTTCCGCACTCGTTCCAGCGGTCGACTGGCTTTGCAGAGCAGATGGATGTGCACGAATCAACGGCTACGGTTCGCGAAGCACTGCGATTTTCTGCGCGATTGAGACAGCCCAAGGAGGTTCCTCTTCAAGAGAAGTATGACTATGTTGAGACGATGATTGATCTGCTCGAGATGCGCGACATTGCTGGCGCCGTTATTGGCACGACTGGCTCCGGGCTGAACCAAGAACAAATGAAACGGGTGACTATCGGCGTGGAGCTTGCGAGCAAGCCTGAGCTGCTGATGTTCCTCGATGAGCCTACGTCTGGCCTGGACTCTGGGGCTGCGTTCAACATTGTTCGATTTCTACGCAAGCTGGCCGATGCTGGACAAGCCATTCTCTGCACAATCCATCAACCCAGTGCTGTGCTCTTTGAGCATTTCGACCAGCTTCTGCTCTTGAAGTCTGGCGGGCGCACTGTCTACTTTGGTGAACTGGGCCATGACTCGCAGAAGCTCATCCGGTACCTTGAAAGCAACGGCGCTGCCAAGTGCCCCCCACACACGAACCCTGCCGAGTATATGCTGGAAGCTATAGGGGCGGGTAATCCCGACTACAAGGGACAGGATTGGGGTGATGTGTGGGAGAGGTCACAGGAGAACGAACAACTGACCAAGGAGATTCAAGAGATTACTGCCAACAGGCGCAACGCAGCGAAGAATGACGAGGCTCGCGACGACCGAGAATATGCCATGCCGTACGGGCAGCAGTGGGTCACGGTGGTCAAGCGGAACTTTGTGGCCATCTGGAGAGACCCGCCCTATGTACTGGGCATGGTCATGTTGCACATCATCACGGGACTGTTCAATGGGTTTACGTTTTGGAATCTCGGGCAGAGTCAGATCGACATGCAGTCACGGCTGTTTTCGACGTTCATGACGCTGACGATTGCACCGCCGCTGATTCAGCAGCTGCAGCCCCGGTTCATCAACATCCGTGGAATCTACAGTGCGCGAGAAGGCAGTGCCAAGATTTACTCGTGGACAGCCATGGTGTGGGGGACGATACTCAGCGAACTGCCGTATCGTATCGTGTCGGGAACCATCTACTGGTGCTGCTGGTATTTCCCGCCTGGATTCCCGCGAGACACGTATACAGCAGCGAGCGTGTGGCTCTTTGTCATGCTCTTTGAAGTGTTTTACCTGGGCTTTGGACAGGCGATTGCGTCGTTTTCGCCAAACGAGCTCCTGGCATCGCTGCTGGTACCGCTGTTCTTTACGTTTATTGTGTCGTTTTGCGGAGTGGTTGTTCCGTATGCAGGACTGCCGTCGTTCTGGCAGAGCTGGATGTACTGGCTGACGCCGTTCAAGTACCTGTTGGAGGGATTCCTGGCTTTGCTGGTGGAGGGACAAGAGATCCGATGCGAGACCAAGGAGCTGGCCATTTTTCCTCCGCCGCCAGGGCAAGACTGCCAGGGCTATGCTGGCGAGTTCGCGCAGCAAGCCGGTGGCTACGTGCAGACGCAGGCCAACGGCGACTGTGGGTTCTGTCAGTACGCTACTGGCGATGCGTTTGCTGCATCGTTCAACGTGTTCCCGCGCTACATATGGCGCAACTTCGGTGAGTGGATCGCTGGCACTTTTTTTTCTTTTCACACGGGCTAACGGGCTCCAGGGATCATGTGGGCGTATATCTTCTTCAACTTTGGCGTCGTGTTTGTGTGCACGTGGTTGTATCTGGGTGGTGCACGACAGATCAAGTCGATGTTTAGTCGGGCAGGGCGCAAACAAACAAAGTCTGCGGATAAGAAAAAGCAAGAGGGCGGCGACGTGGCATGAGGCTGAAGGTTTGACGTCGCGGTAGCACGGGTGCGGATAGGGAGTGCTGGGGGGGGGGCCATCGGGAAAAGTCGTAGCGTGCCCGCGGCCGGAACGCGCAAGGCTTGGGTTGGGCTCAGACAAGGAACCCAGGGCCAGCCGGAAAAGCGGGGCCCATATCCGCGTCGTGCATGTTCCCCGCAAAATGGGTTCTGGGAAATCTAGAGCGTGTGCTAGCATGCAGCGAGCGAGCAGCCGTGGGTTGACTGGTACTGGGCCAGCTAGCGCCCTTTGAATTCATGATTAATGTGTGCATGTGCGTGTTTTTTTTTCTTCCTTTTCTTTCTTCATCTCGGCTTCACGAGGCAGGGCGAGTACCTGTCCGCACATGCGACACGGGTAACCGAGGGAGAGGGAGACTTTGGACGAGGATGCGCGATTAACCAGGCCAGCGGAAAGGATCGCACAGAGGTTGCGCTCGGCACTTGACACACGTAAACTCTATGAATCGAGTGCCGGCTAGCCACGCATGGATGGACAAGGAGAGAAAAAAAAATAGCCCAGCGTTTTCCGAAGCCGCCCCTCCCCCTTCTCCCTTGCCCCCATCCGTCCGAGGGCGGTGATTTGTGCATCATGCAATCGAGACATGGGGCCAAGGCTCAAACGGGCTTGCCATCATCGTGCAGGGGTCGGGCGTGGAGCATCAACCTCAGACGCAGCACGAGGTGGAATCGGAAGCGCAGGCTGTGCGAGTGGAGGTGCGGGTGGAGGCAGAGGTGCGAGTGGAGGTGGGGAGTGGCAGTGCACTACCGCCTTGCCGTGACACCGCCACGGGGAGCGTTTAGCAGTTGGGTACACGGGCATGAAGCATACGCAGTATGTGCTGCTGCTGCTGCTGCTGCTGCGTGGCTTCTGCTGGCACACACCGATGGCCATGTGTCTGCGTGCTGTCCTGTGAAAATGTTCTTTTTTTTTCTCATGCGCAGCAGCCATGCTATTACGCGGCTCCCGGCGAAAAATAGGCCACAGGCCAGGTAAACTTCACGCGCTGCCGTGTTCTGGAAGCCAATGAAACAATGACGACAGGCAGGGGGCCGCTAAGCCGCTTTGGGGGGCGAGGATGAATGTGGGGTAGGCAGCCAATGGGCGGCGGCGCAATGTGCTTTACGCACTCGACGTGCGCCCGTCACGAGGACATTGGCATTGGCATGGCGGGAAGCGGGAACAGCTACCGCCAAACAAAAGCGTCTCCCATGACACAACCGTGACCGCAGCCCTGTGCATAGTCGAAGCTCGAGCACGAGCACGAGCGCGAGCAGCGAGCATCCAACCCCATGCGATTCGGGCCCTCGACACGCCTCCACCTCCGCCAGCACGCGCGCGCTGGCGGTGCTGGAGCTGGACCGCCGCCTTACACATGCCGAGCGCCTTTTCCGGCCTCACCCAACCCTCGTGCCCAGCTCCGCGTTATTTTCGTCCCGCGCGCGCCCTCGACCCAATCACACGCCCCAACGCTAGTTTGCTGTCCCCGGCCCAGCTCTGCCAGACTCAGCACCAGCAGCGTCGTCAGAAGCAATGCCCGTGGTATTAAAGCGCCCCAGAACCCCGTCTTGCCAGCTGCAATTCCACCATCATCTCCCTTGGCCCCAGACTTCGCCCGTCACCAGGTGTCCAAGCAGCCGCGTGCCCATTTCCACATCTCCACCATGGTTTCCCAATCCGTCAACAAGACCAACCTCCACCCCTCGGGTGTCCTGTGAGTCGATCCCTCTGCCGCCAGAGATGCCGTGGCTGACCATTGGTTTCCCCAGGCCGAGCAAGGGACACACGGAGATTGAAGAGTCGCTCCACGACAAGGCTCACATTGACTACGACCGCGTAGCTATTGTGAGTCCTTGAACACGACGTGCAGCACCCGCTCCCAATACTAATCACCGCCCCAGATTGCCAACCCCTCGGTTGCTGCCCTCTACGAGGATGCCCTCGTGTACGAGACTGGCTCTGCCATTACAGCATCAGGCGCTCTCTCGGCATACTCTGGAGCCAAGACTGGCCGCTCGCCCTCGGATAAGCGCATTGTCGAGGAGGACTCGTCCAAGAACGATGTCTGGTGGGGCCCCGTCAACAAGCCCATGAAGACTGACGTAAGTCACCTCCGCACTCTCAGCCCCTTGGCTCTCCCAATTTTTCCCCAGACGGCGTATTTTTTTACGTCAAAATGCGCATTGGCTTGTGAAAGATCAACGTCAAAACGTCATGCACGCTAGCTGCATACCCGAGGCAGTTCGCATCCCTGCACGTGGCGTGTGATGGGGCTAGCCTGCCCCGCATTTCGCTACCTGTCCAGGGTTCCGCTTGCGGCATACCATCACGTGTCCCTTCTTCTCACCATGCACTGCTAACACGCCTGCCCAGGTCTGGCGCATCAACCGCGAGCGTGCCATCGACTACCTCAACACCAGGAACCGCATCTACGTCGTCGATGGATTCGCCGGCTGGGACGAGCGCTACAGGATACGCGTCCGCGTTGTCTGCGCCCGCGCCTACCACGCCCTCTTCATGCGCAACATGCTGATCCGCCCCTCGAGGGAGGAGCTCGAGCACTTTGAGCCCGACTACACCATCTACAACGCCGGTGCCTTCCCCGCCAACAGGTATACCAGCGGCATGACCTCGTCGACTTCGGTCGCCCTCAACTTTGCCGACAAGGAGATGGTCATCCTCGGTACCGAGTATGCCGGAGAGATGAAGAAATAAGTCTACCCACCCCTGCCTCACCCGCCCGTGCTAACCGCCCGTGCACAGGAATCTTCACCGTCCTCTACTACGAGATGCCCATCAAGCACAACGTCCTCACCCTGCACTCGTCTGCCAACGAGGGCCAGGATGGCGATGTCACCGTCTTCTTCGGTCTGTCTGGAACTGGAAAGACGACTCTGTCTGCCGACCCCAAGCGTGCCCTGATTGGTGACGACGAGCACTGCTGGAGCGACACTGGCATCTTCAACATTGAGGGTGGTTGCTACGCCAAGTGCATTGGTCTCTCGGCCGAGAAGGAGCCTGATATCTTTGGCGCCATCCGCTTCGGCTCCATCCTCGAGAACGTCGTCTTCGACCCCGTCACCCGTGTTGTCGACTACGACGACGACACCCTGACGGAGAACACGCGCTGTGCCTACCCCATCGAGTACATTGAGAACACCAAGATTCCCTGCATCTCCAACCAGCACCCCAAGAACATTGTCCTCCTCACCTGCGATGCCCGCGGTGTCCTTCCTCCCATCTCCAAGCTCAACCCCGAGCAGACCATGTACCACTTTATTTCCGGATACACCTCCAAGATGGCCGGTACCGAGCAGGGTGTGACTGAACCCCAGGCCACCTTCTCCACCTGCTTCGCCCAGCCCTTCCTCGCCCTCCACCCCATGCGCTACGCCAAGATGCTCGCCGAGAAGATCCAACAACACAACGCCAACGCCTGGCTCCTCAACACCGGCTGGGTCGGTGCCGGTGCCACCACTGGCGGCAAGCGCTGCAGCCTGCGCTTCACCCGCGCCATTCTCGACGCCATCCACAACGGCGAGCTCGCCAACGCCGAGTACGAAAACTACGAAGTCTTCAACCTCCAGGTCCCCAAGAAGTGCACCGGCGTCCCCGACGACCTGCTCAACCCCCGCAACAGCTGGAACGGCACCGCCAGCCTGCAGGACGAGGTCGAGAAGCTCGGCCGCCTCTTCATGGAGAACTTTAAGAAGTACGAGGATGAGGCGACCAAGGAGGTCATTGCAAGTGGTCCACACGTATGCTGCTGCCCCAAGCACTAAGACGCTTTTTCACGAATCCCCCCCCCTTTTCTGGTCAGCCTTTCGCTTGATGCATGCGCGCACGTATTAACGACTTAATCCTTACTTCTTCTTCGACAGATTGGCTAGCCACCTTTTGTTTTTCGACCTTCGAACCTCGACGAAAAAAAGAAGCTGAGTTTCGATCAGCTGCCCTTTTTTTTGAGCGGACCTCGTTCTTTTCTTTCTAGGATACCTATCTTGTTGGATCGATGGATGGGATGCGGGTTGCAATACCAGTTTTATAGAGTTGATTTTTTTTACCGGCTTTGGCATATTACTGCAAGATGAAGGGTGATGATGGAAGATGATGGTGATGGGGTAAAAAAAAGAGGTGGATGTGGATGATGGGGCTTTTTTTGGATATTTTCCTTGTTGGACCTACTTACATATATCGGCGCCTTTTCTGGGTTTTGAATCTAATTTCATCAAAAAATATTTCACTTACTTGCTCCCATTTATTCCCACTTTCTTCTTGTGCATGCTGAGACTGGCTATGGCTCGCTTTTATATGGTTTTAATTGAGCTGCTTGTTGGTGACGGTGGTGGTGGTGGTGGTGTATACTACATACAAATACTGCAAAGCGTGCAACATGCCCCATGGAAGTAAAGTGTTGTCCAAAGACGATTTATTTATTTTTTTTCCCTTGAATCCTTAACTCTTAACCCACCCGCCCGCCGCCGCCCATTCTAAATAAGAGTCAATAGAAGAGGAAGAGAAAAGAAACTCGGTGCAGAGTCGTGGAATGCAACAAAGCTTACATTACATGCAATGCATGTACGATGTCGTGAGCGGGTAAGCAGTCAAAGTCGCGGCGCTATCGGTCCATGTGATGGATGCGTTGGCTGGGTTGTAGAATCCCATGCTGGAACCAGTGCCAATGCCGCGGACGGGGATGTTGCTTGTAGCGTATGCGGTGCTGCTGGACATGCGAGTCTTGTATGCGTGTACATGGACTGGGGCTCCAGGGAATGCAGTGCGAGTGTCGTTGTTGTTGTTGTTGTTGTTGTCTGCGACCTGATGAGTTGATGGGTACAGCAACAAGTTTGCAAGGGTCAAAGACGACGGCGTACCAGGAACAAACTCGACAAAACCATTATATACCACGGCAGCACGCGAAAGCCGCCACAGTGCCACAACGGCATCTTCCTCTTTCTTTTGAAGCGCCATGTCCTTGTCCTCGTCATCCATGTCACACTGACTCCCCCTCCACAACCCATCATAATAATCATCCTCGTCAACCGCCGAAATCGTCGCTTCGTCATCAATAACCGTCTCTTCTTCATCCCCAACCTCCTCCTCCTCCTCCTCCTCATCACCCACGGGTAAACTAGCCAAAAAACCCCTCCACGCCTCCAAGCCCTCAGCATACTCGGACTCGGCATAAATCCCCATATCCTCCAACAACATCTTCATGCCCTTGTACTCGTGCACCATGTCCATGGTAATCCGCGGCATATACACGTCTCCGGATTTGCCCAGCACACAAGCCGCAAGCCGCGCCCGCAGCCGATGACACACGCGCCCGAATTTAGACGAAAAGGCATTGCCGCGCCGCTCTTCGCGCGGCGCCAACGCAACCCCGTCGTGCGCATACAGCACGCGGCCGACAAACATGTCGTTGAAAGCGCGGCGGATCAGCGCCGTATTAGGCACGACGGTGGGACGCTTGAGCGCCTCGGCAATGGAGAGCTGGAAATAGAGTTCGAGCCAGAGTTCCTCGTACTCGTGCCACTGGTTCACGGAGCGTGCTTTTATGCCGGCGCGGCCGTAGATTTGGTTGCGCCACGCGTTGATCTTGCGGATGTGGTGCGGCGATGTCCAGCGGATGGCTGAGGCGGGGATCTTGCGGAAGTGCAGTTCGTTGGTCGTGTTGGTGTTGGCGCAGTGGCATACCATGCGGAGGAGAGACTCGTCTTTTACGCCGACGGTCGCGGTGCGGCGGGGGCCTTGGGGGACGAGGCGCCGGATGGGCTTGGTGGTGGGGGCTGCGGTTGGGAGGACTGCCGGTGTGAGAGGTGAGGTAGCTGGTGTGGTTGCAGACGTGGCGGTCTGAGTAATCTTGATCTTCTTTGCTGGAGCCTCGACATTCAACTCGGTGTTGTTGTTGCTGTCAGGCTGCTTCCGCTTGTTGCTCGAGCTGGCACTGACTTTGTCTGCTGACTGCGTCTCCTCATGCTTTCGGGTGGCCGCACGGCGACTAACTCGCGCTGATGGGCTATTCTCGCCCGTCTTACGCTTCGACGCCATGATGTCTGTCTCGCTATGCGAAATGCAAGGAGAACCTAGAGCAGTGGGCTGGTCAAAGGCTCAATATACGAGCAAAGCAATCGCTTCAACCAGACGCCTGAAAACACAAGAAACACCACAAGACACCGGCTGTTGTATGAGTAGTAAAAGAACCTTCTTATCTTGGCGCTGTCGAGTATATTGTTGTTAACGCGCTGATAGTGTTGACTTTGTGATTTGTGACTTGTGGTTGTTGAGTTTGGAGCTGTGTGAGTGCCAAGTATACAACTGCAAAACCAAAACCAAGTAAACAGTCCAAGTCCCGCGCACAATAAGCCAAAGGACCAACTAGACCGCGAAGTGAAGGCGAGTTACGTGTACGTGTGGGGCAGGCGGACGTCGAGTGAGCGCAGTGTTGTGTGTGCTTTTTTGCTTTCACTGTGTTGCTTGCTAAGCGACTATTGGCCATTGTTGTTACACGGGGATTTTTGAACTTGGAACTTGAGACAGAGATCCAGATCGTCGGTCTCGTGCGGGTGGGGATTTGAAGGAGAATGGTCTGTTTGGGAGAGCTCATGGTGGGTATGTCTGGTTTGGACTGACGTCTCAGTGGTGGTGATTGTTATTGTGTTTTTCGCAGTGACTTGCAATGTGGCGGACTCGTCTGGATTCGGCGATTGAAAAGACTCGATCGACTTGGGACGTTCATTTATATCACAGCCAGACTCGGAGATTTTCTGGTAAGGTTAGCATGTACAATGGATGTACACATAGTGCTGGTATAGTCAGAGTTTGTCTAAGCGCGCAATGGGTATTCAAGGCATCGTCACTGGCGTCTTATGCTGTGAAAAAATCTTTTCAGACCTTAATATATACTTACCATTGTTCTCGACAATATTTACCTCGACTCGAATTCGTCTTTGAACATTTTGAGAGTGAGATAGACGGTGAAGGGACTTGAAAGCCAAGGCACATCTTAGCACGATAACTACACTATTTCGTTAGTCACCGTCATTGAACCAGGCAAAAACATATATACTTCCTCTGGAGCTTCAATCTAATTACGAATTGTAGCTGCCGAATCAAGAATCACCAGTAGACTGACCATCTTTGACACTGGCCCGAACAACACAGTCGCAAACAACTGACTATGAACCGTATGACACCGACTAATGAAGTGAGAAGCAGTATGACATTGCTGACACCCTCAATCCAGCCTTTACTGCCCATATCAGGAGACTCTAAATTCTGCATGCAACGTCTTCGAGTCCTTCGCAAAGCCACAATAACTCAATAGTCGGCGTCGGGGAAAGACACGCATAATCAGAAGGAGTTGTAACAGCACCTGTGATCCTGGTTTCTAAATCTCTTAGATAAAACACTATAGAAGTAATACATACCAGACTCGACACTCCCCGCATCGGGTCCTAAGATCCGGAGAAATGTTACCAGAGGCGGGGTGTGCAATTTACCTTGGTACCATTGCTAGCTGCAGTGCAGTATGGTCTGTATATCTTCCTAGCTACTACATAGTTATATAGAAGCGCATATGTACGCGAAATATTAGCAGGTATTCAAGATAAATGGCCACCTACAGTCATTCGCGAAACAAATCCTTCAGACTCGAATCTGAGCTGAACATCTCCCTGTACTTAATGCGGTTTATCCAAAAAAAAATAATTAGTAAAAGCCTCCTGCAACCACTCTATAGCTATACACTTGGTCATTCAAGCAAGACTCACGATTTTACCTGTCTATCTATCTATCTATCCATCTATCTGCCTTGTCCCCACCCAAACGCACCATGCACCCCCCCACCCTTTCTTTGCACCTCAGTCCTCCCATCTATAAATATAAAAAAAAACCCACAAATCCCAGCACACCATCCCCTTTCCCCCAAAGTCCACATGACATTATTCCACACAGTAAGTATCCTCATCCTCATCCTCATCCAGAGCCCCAGACACAGCCCCAAACCCAAGAGAAGTCGTTAATTCCCCCCCCCTGGGCGCTAAACCGCACTAGGAATAGCAAATTACAGTACACTAAAGTACTAAGTAGATTGCGCTGCCCCCCCCCCCTCACCTCACCAGACAACTTCTTCAGCCCCAAACTGCCCCTCCCCCTCCCCCCTCCCTGCTCATCCTGTAACACCGCCACATGCAACATGGTCGGGACTTGCTCGTACGGGAAAGGAAAGCTCGTGTTACGGCATCCAATTATAACTGCTGCCAGGGGGGGGGGAAACATAGGCTGTTTTAATGTTTGAGCCTAGCGAAGGAGGGGGAGGGGGAGGGGCTGGCTGCATATGTAGGTGTGTATGTATGTATGTAATGTGCTGAGTCGCGTGCATGCATGTGCGACCAATGTCTTAGTTGGCGAACTGGCGAACTGGCGAACTGGCGAACTGGAGGAGGAGGAGGGGGTGGTGTTATGGCGGTTGAGGTTTTGCTTGATTCTTTCTTTTTTTCTTTCACAAAACACAGTACAGTCGATATAATATATTTCCCTATTTACTTAAT